GATGAGATCCTCGCAAAGAAGGCCAAGTTGGCCGAACTCAAGCGCCAACGAGAACTGAGGAAGGCCGAGTCAGCTAGCAGGCAATCCGCGACTGGTAGTCCTCTAGGAGAAGTAGGCTACATATCCAATTGCATCTAATCAGTGACTGACTAACATTCCAGGTCCTCTCGCCGACACCAAGACGCAGCGAAGACCTCGACCGCAGAACCGACGTCACCAACCTCATCAATAGCATCCTTGGGGAGAGTAGACCCGGTTCTACACAACCTGGCTCCCCGGCAGGCGCAGGACGACCAACCCGCCCGACATCGGTAGTCAGCGCAGGCCAACTGAGCAGCGACAATGAAGGATCCACGGGCTTCCCATCCCTCACCGGCATGGTTGACCGAGAGATGCAGACTCTCTCGCTTGCTCCGCTAGCGACCGTCTACGAGGCCGACGGCCAGGTCACCAACGAGGTCAAGAAGGAGAAGGAAATCATTACATACAGCAAGGGTGTACAAGCAAGCATAGAGTGGACCCCGTCGAAAGATCGGGGAATCGGCGGAAGCGACACAGAGCGCGACGAGAGCCCTACGCGGTCACCTAAGAGCAAGAGGCTGAGCCGGAGACAGAAGGAGAGGGACGAGGAGATCCGAGCGCAGCTGCGCAAGGAGATCGAGGAGGAACTCAAGGTCCTCCAACAAGCGCCCGAAGAGGGTGCACAACAACCTGGGTCAGAAGAGAACTTTCCGTTCAAGACCCTCACAAACGAAGAATTGACGGCTGTCGAAAACTCGGAGGAGTTCATCGGCTTCGTCGAGCGCAGCACGAAGGTGCTGGAGCGAGCGCTTGACCAACAACTTGGCTACGACATCTTGGCAGACTACGCAAACGGTGGTGTAGACGTCGACGACGACGATGAGGGTTACGGTTCAAGTGGAGGCAAGAAGGGTCGCCGCATCAAGGAGATCGCACAGTTCTGGGATGAGCGATGGAGCAAGAAGAGGATGATTTCAGATCTGGGCTTCTCAACAAAGGTATGGAGTGCAGTGACGTCTGGCGATCATGACACTGACATGCTTCACAGTTCCCAGAACTCGTCCTTGCCTCGTACACCAAGAACCCGTCCGCGCCACACGACCCTGACGGTCTCGTACAAGTATGGAACCTGCACATGCACGATCGACCCGAGTACATCTTCCACGCGCAGTCCGATATCCTTACTGCAAAGTTCTCCCCGTTCCACCCAAATCTCATTGTTGGAGGCGCCTACTCAGGGCAAGTGTTGCTATGGGACACTCGCGCGAAGTCCGCACCAGTGCAGAAGACACCGCTCACTGGCTCCGGTCACACACATCCCGTCTACTCGTTAGACATTGTCGGAACGCAGAACGCAAACAACATCATCTCGTGTTCGACGGATGGTGTTGTGTGTGGATGGACTGTTGACATGCTTTCACAGCCCCAAGAGTTCCTTGAATTGACATCACCACCGCCAGCCAAGACAGACGATATGGCAGTGACCAGCATAGCCTTCCCGCAATCGGATCCAACTTACTTCCTCGCAGGCACAGAAGAGGGTACCATTTACCCATGCCATCGCTATGACCGAGCCGGTGCGAAAGCAGGTGTAGACGGCCGCGTAAAGTACGCTGGCCATGCTGCGCCCGTTATGAGTCTAGACTTCCATCCCGCCAAGGGTCAGATCGATCTAGGGGACCTTGTTCTGTCGTCGAGTGTCGACTGGAGCGTCAAACTTTGGAAGGTCCGCCCACCGGCTGCTACAGGCGCTACCAACCCGACACTTCCTGGTGCAACCCAACAAGTAACACCCGTTCTCGACATTGCACGCGAAGATCTCGTTTATGACGTTCGATGGTCGCCTGTCAAACCCTCCGTTTTCGCACTTGTAGACGGAGCGGGAAGTCTCGAAGTCTGGGATATCAACGTTGATGTCGAGGTTCCTGTTCAATCGGTGAAGCCCAGTGACGGTAAGCGTGGCGCGTTTACAAACATGCCAACTGGTCTTGGCTACATGAACAGGAGTCTGAACAAGTTGGCATGGGAGAGGAACGAAGGGCGCAGAGTTGCAGTGGGAGGCATGGATGGCGTCGTCACCATCTTCGAGGTGGGCGATGATCTTGGAGGTGTCCAGACACGTAGCGAGGAGTGGAGTGGCGTCAAGAGGTTGGTAAACCGGTTGGAAGGTCACGGTGATGGTACCAACGGGAAGTAAGGTTCTATTGAATGTCTCTCAATGGACAATTCCAGGGCCTGGAGGACGGTTGTGGCAGTGCTTCAATACCCATTTCTTTTCAGCGGAGCATCATTCTGGAGTCGGCAGTTCACTTTCTACCATACCCCAAGCATCACAAATCCACATTCTATACAGAGTACGCGGGCCCAGAACACTACAGGTGTGGCGGTGCATCGACGCTCGTAGCACGATTGCGCACGTCAATTATCCTAGCTCGACGCGTTCTCGTCTCACAAACGGTGATCATGCCCAAACTCAAGGTCTCCACGTTGCGATGCCATCAGGGCAGCCCGTTAGCGCACGAGGCTAAAGAGCTCCCCACCAGTTAAACCTCACGGATCCCCTGGTTTACCCAGCCACAGGTAAGCCGCACCTCCACACCTACATCATCGATGGCCAACAGGTTTCCTATCGCGAGACGGGTGCTCGGAACAGAGCATTGCATAGATGGGTCGGTGTCCCCGCTTCTGCCGGTGCAGGATCAACGAATGGAGCGCCCGGTTACCGCCACTTCGCAAGCCTGATGAAAGTAGGTCTGGCTAGTACGTTAAAGCGCTGATGGTGCTGTCGCTTCAACCGGGTCCGTTCATCCGTCAACAACGCTTCTGATGATGCTTGGTGTCCTGCTCAAGCTCGTGCCGGCGCTGCGATGGCCCATTGTTTCTGCTGGTCAGGGCGCGAACCATGAACAGATGTAATTATGCATTCTCAACCGCGAATTGGTCAACAGGAGCGAAGTTTACTGACATTGACCAATCTAGTGCCATAACTTCCTGCATATCGGCCGTTAAGGGCTACTTTCCCTGCAATACCACCCCGATTCCCGACTATACGTGCCTGTGCGAACAGTACCTATGGCGCGTCTCATGCTTCGACAACCACGCGTCGCATCCAACATCGCACCCGGATCGTTCGATCGCCGAGAGTTATACGAGCGAGTATTGTCTTGCGGCAGGTAGCATTGGCGCGGAGCAAGTACGGAGGAACCATCAGCGTCAACGGAGGCAGATTGGCGACCTGTTGTCCAGCATCGTTGGCGATGTCTCGTCGGTGCTGTCGAGCAATGGCGTTACGGTGCCTACGGCCGTTATCGAGAGCGTGGCGGGTAGTGTGGTGAATGCTTTACCAACACCTGCGAATCCTACGAGCATTGCGGCTGAGATCACGGCAACGAGTGCAACAGAAGAGGCAAGCAGTACAGCGAGGAGCACCGGGCCGACAACAACAGAGGCATCGTCAACTGCGGGCGCAGCTTCAAGCACCGCATCGGAAGAACCAACGTCGTCGAGTGCAGCTGCCGCAGGCGCATCATCCTCAGATTCAAGTTCCGGTCCCTCAACAGGTCTAATCGCTGGCGTGGTAGTAGGAGCGGTCGCAGCTCTGGCGCTTATTGGCATATTCGTCCTCCTTCTACTACGTCACCGGAAGAAGAAATCCAGAAGCGCGGGTTTGACCGACAAAGAGGCTAGCCCAGCAGCATCTTCTTCGTCTGACCACTCCCCACCGACGAACAGCGCATACACACATATTCCACATTCAAACACGTATTCTACCACTACTACCCTTCCCACGCAAACCGACAGGTCTTCAACACAACCAACAACAATGATGTCTCCTGTGTCTCCTATGGAGTCTGGAAGCCAGGCACCATGGGCATCGACGTCAACCTTTGGAGGCACAACAGCAATGGGAGCCGGTGCCGGCGCCGTCGCTGCACGTCACTCTCTATCTAGCTCTACCCCAGCACCTAGATACTTCGACGAGAAGCCAGCACAACAACACCAATATATTGATTCAAAGATACCAGAAAGCAACGAGATGCCGACCAGTGCCAACGTCTGGGAAATCGACGGCAGAGAGATGCCGCCGCCCAGCGAGTTGGATGCGGGAAAGAGAGATGGGTTAAATTTGGGCGATGTAGGCAGTAATACACAGGGACAAGGGCAGGCTCAGCAACAAGAGTACATTGCGTATAGTCCGCCTCGCGTGGAGCATGCGCAAAATGGCGAGTATTTAGGCAATAGACAGGTTGGTCAGGCTCTTTGAGCAGGATGATTAAGCAACGAATTTATGAGTTTCTTATGCAATACTTTGAAGTTTTCCTTCCGACTGTGCTATCGACCAATCTTTCGTCGGATTCTGAACCTATCAAGATTGCAAGTCATCGTACGGACTGGGGAATTCCATGTCCAAGCCATAGTCCTGAAATGCCCAATCTAACTGAGAGTAGGATGCATCGAAGCTTGGCCAGATGTCGGTGAGATATCTTTGTAAAGCCTCGTCGCTATATAAAACTCCTATCTGATCCGTAACAACATCAGTGTTGGCGGGTATGGCCAGCGTTAAGACTGTGCTGTTGGATGTGGTAGTACCACCTCGATGCGCGTCTCGCAAGCTGTCGTGTGCACCGTCGCTTATCAGTGTCCAAAGCCGTTTTGCAAGCTTGGCCACGCCTCTCACGCTGGTCCATCGTTCACTCAGATCATCGAGGGTATCGCAGCACTGGCCAAGGTCCTCTCTTGCTTTACCAATGTCTCTTACACGATCGTGCAAAGCGCGGTAGATGACGGTTGTGGACATGGACATTGCATAAGGAACTAGTGGGAGCGGAGGAAGGCCTTCGCATCCTTCACGAGATATCATTTCGAGCACTCTATCCGCGGACTTGAGGCGCCTATTATATTGTTCGGTGTCCGGTCCGCTGTAGCGACAGGATAGCATGGCGGCAACATAATACCATGTCTCCAGGTATACTGCTACTTTAAGTAGACTGAAGAGCCAAGTTGATAAGTATCTTACCTCGATGCGACATGTGGAACTGATCGAAATTACTCCCACCCGTAATTTCTGATAACGAAGGGAACTCCCAGCAACTGTCGACTGCGGTCGTAGAACCAGCTTTGTAAGCTCTAGTCGCGGTAGTCATGAGGTCTCCAAGAGCGAGAGAGACAGCCATGATTTGAGAGCGATAGTCGTCTTTCTTCGGTTCTATGCGTTCAACGCCAATATCTGCATCGTCGATGAAGAAGGGCGCTGCTGCCATGATGGGTTTACCAAGGCGGTCAAAGTTCCGGAGTGACCACCACAGATACTTGCATTCGTCGTTGTCAGGGTTGCCAGGTATCTTCAGGTGTATACACATTGACCACGCTTCACAGATGGCCTGCGACAAGTAACTGGACGCGCGATCTACGCCGGCTAGACCATCGTTGTGCAGGTGCATCAGTACTAAGATCTGGATCTTGATGATGCGATCGGGTTCCAAATCTGCTTTGATGGCCGCATCTAGTCCAGCTAGAAGCTTTGATGCAAATTCTAGAGGTTTGAGTAAAAGCCCGGAGTCAGTCAGTCGTAGGAAAGGAGCGGCATGTTTTGTTTTGCAGACGACAAGACATATTGCCCTCACCAAGTAGATGGATGCTTGTCCGTTACTGTGGTCACGGAAGACGGCGGCGCCATCCGTGATGGGGGTGAGGTCATTCAACGTCGAAATGTACAAGGGTAGGAGAGCGTCCGTCGTGGTTTTGGGTAGTGACGCAAAAGCTCCTTCTTCTTCGAGATACTTTCGATACGACTCGGATAGGCTCGGCGCGGTGGTCCGGATCTTATGTTGCTCGTACCATCTCAGTCGGCGCTGCGCTTCGTATGCGGCGGAAGAAGTGAGTGCCATAGCTTGTGGCGTAGGTTGGGATGATGACACATTTGTTGTCTGATTCAAGGCGCTTGATCCTGGCTCAGCGTCTTCTGATAGAGCTGCGAGGACGGATTCAGGGTTATATTCGCTCACGCGACCGGGGCTTGGAATGGGCTCGCCTATATCAGTGTACAGATGAGGCTCTTGCACTCGACTTCCTATCCCGCAAGTTCGCTCCTTCCTTCGATATCCGCGGTCCTCAAAATGGTAACATCGTTTCTTGCGTGACCGACAAGTGGAGCATGCTGCAGCCGTCCGTTTCTTCGGTGCCTTCCCTCCCGAGTGCCATACAATCTCCATGTTTGCAGCAGGATTTCGGAGCCATGAGCCGATCGAAGTGTGTGACAAGCGGGAGCAGTGTTTGCTGTACCCGCCCCAGAAGGAGTAACCACTATCTACCCCGCACCGCTAGAAGATGACCCACCATCACTATGCACGACACCTGGATAAATGTTGTTGGTCATCTCTCCTTCGCTGTTTCCTGTGCCGACCCAAATTGGGATGTTGCCGCTTCTCCACTCTTGTCATTGGAGCAGACTGCGGGGGACAATAGCCACTAGTCTGTTTCTGGGTCGGGAAACGTAGCTACCTGCACTCTCCACACTCCGCTGCTCCACCTGAACACCTGCAACGAAGAATCGATCACTGGAAACCATCAGTTTGCTTTGCCACGGGGACCTCTGATTTGACGCTCTACTGTTGACCATGCATAGTACCAATTCACCTTGAATCATGCAGACTCAAGGAAGATGTCGCATAAAGGTGGGTGTAAGGCCACTTTGATTGTCGCCAGTTTCATATCCAAGCACCATTATATCCTACTTCTGAACACCCAAGCCTGCTCCCCAAAGCCATGACTTCTCCACAGATCAAGCGCTATGTCATTGTGGGCATGGGTGTTAGATCCGCGTTCTACTACCAAAGCATCATCCAAGACTTCAAATCGAGCGCTGCAGTCGTTGGTATATGCGATACCAATGAGACGCGCATGAAGGCTGCAAATGATCGCATTGCCGAGATTGGCGGCGAACGCGTCCCGATGTACAAGGCAGAAGACTTCGACAAGATGGTCAAAGAGCAAAAGGCCGACGTCGTAATCGTCACCACCATCGACAAGTTCCACCACGTATACTGCATCCGCGCTATGGAGCTGGGTTGCGACGCGATTACCGAGAAACCAATGACTATCGACAAAGAGAAACTTCAAGCGATGATCGATGCGGAGAAGAGGACAGGCAAGCAAGTTCGTGTTCTCTTCAACTATCGATATGCACCTCATCATACAAAGCTACGCGAGCTTGTTGATTCGGGCGTTATCGGTGAGATCTCAACGGTACATATGGACTGGATTCTGGATTGCGCACATGGATCTGACTTCATGCGACGATGGCATCGAAACAAAGACACCAGTGGTGGTATCCAGATGCACAAGTCCATTCATCACTTCGACCTGGTACATTACTGGCTGAACACGGAACCCGAGATGGTCTACTGCGTCGGTAGCTTACGTTTCTACGGTAGGGAAAACGCCGAGCGACGCGGAGAGAAGAACCTAGGTGAACGCTATCTCAACAACGAGGCTGCGAAAGACGACCCGTTTGCCATTCATATCGACCAGAACGCCCAATTGAAGAAATTGTACCTCGAGGCTGAGCACGAGGATGGCTACATTCGTGACCGCAACTGCTTCGCGGATGGCATCACTATCGAAGACAATCTCTCCATGATCATCAAGTACAAGAATAAAGCCGTCATGACATACAACACGTATGCCTATGCGCCATGGGAGGGGTACCGCTGCGTATTCAATGGTAGCAAGGGCCGCATCGAGATAAACGTCGTCGAGGGCGGATACTCAGCGGGTGGTGAGACTGTCACCAACGAAGGGCTCGGTGAGCTCGAAGCAAATTACATCCAAGGGGGCGTGGAGAAGACAAACATCGTCGTCTATCCCTTGTGGGGAAAGCCCTACGTCGTTGATGTTGTCAAGAGTGAAGGCGGCCATGGAGGAGGCGACCCTCTGCTTCTGCGGGATGTAATCGCTACCAGCGATGGTGAAGACAGCTTCAAACGCGCTGCGTACATTCGGGATGGCGGCAATGCTGTCCTTGTCGGTGTTGGTGCAAATCGCTCCATGGAGACCGGCATGCCTGTTCAAGTGCAGGATCTTGTCAAATGGTAGTGGAGCTCTTTCCTGGCCGAACTTTTGATGAATAGAGATGGATTTGACTCCTAGTAAGCTGTCCGTAGTGCATTTGCAACTGTTGTCGTAAGATTCTGATGACTGGTTGGTGTCTTGGTTTCCGATGGTAGATCTCAACGCCACAGCAAGCCACTAGCTTCTTTGTAACATACACTTCTCCTACAATAGAAATGAGTGCATATCACACTGCAGGATGTTGCGCGTCGTTTCGGCATCGCAAAATGTCGGGGTCCGGCAGTGGTTCGCGTGCGGCAGCATTGCGGAGACCCGAACGAGACAGCACTAAGCCTTCCCGACCAATCAGACACCTCCCATCCGGACTGACAGCCTATCAGAAACCAGGAGGCTGGCTGTCTCACCACGTTAACGCGACACGCATCGCTGTTTGTGCTGGAAACTTACGTCAGGCTTGTGAGTACTACACGCTCAATACGGCAATTCCTGGGTGGATAGTGATGATCCGGAGTATCGGGATGAGCGCAGGGTCCCCTGGCATCCAAGTAAAAAGAAGCCATCGCCGTGAAGCTTGAAACCCTGTCACTCAGTGTACGCATCTCAAGAACAACTTACGCAAGCTCCAAGCATCGAGGAGAGACAGCAACGAGTTTCAAGACATACCGAGCAAACACCACCGACATGCGCAAATCCTCCCTCCGAAAGACGACTCTGCTCTCCCTCCTCGGCATCTCTTCCGCGACAACACAGTCATGGGGTGAGCCCTTCGCCGTCAAACCCGCAGCGGAAACATCAACAGAGAACCTGCTCCCATCCGCGTCTCCAACCCCGTCATGGGGCGACGCCTTTACCGTCGACAACAGCGTCAGTACACCAACAAGCTCGCTCCCAACATCAATAGCTGGAGCACCGAGTCTGGCAGTCGATACAGCATCACCTGTGCCTTCCAACACAGTGACCGAAGATGTTACAGTGATCACTGGCATTCAAAGTGCTGTTGGTTCGAGGACTGCAAGCTTTGATGCAAGTTCACAGAGTGTGACGGGAACGCGGAGTGGAGGAAGCAGTACACAGAGCGCTACGGGTGCCTCAGGCCTTGTGGAGGCTACCGGTGCTGCGGTTCCAGTGAGAGGATTCAAGAAGATGGGTTTTGCGGGGGCGATGGCTGGGGCTGCGGGAGTGCTATTTGTGTAGAGTTAGGAAAAGAAGAAGGGACATTGTGAGGAGGAGTAATTTGCTCAGCGGGCGAATTTTCTTGGATAGAAAGAGTGTTGGAAAGTCGATACCAGTTGTTCAGGTACAGACACTGGATTGCTTTGGGCCAACACTTGGACTGAGAAAGAGCTACTCGAGTGATGGGAGAGATCCATGGAATTTTGACGATTAATGGCAGGTTAGATGACGGTATTGCGTAAAGAAAGAAGAAACGTTGAGTTCCTGGATACCATGCCATAGCACCAGCAATGTGGCTACACATCTGTAGCTACGAGTATGGAAGAGCTGACTGGATCAATTACAAAACTTTTGTGTTGTAGCGTAGTTCATTCAAGCCAACTCGGCTCTACCGAGCATGGTCGTGATCGTCGTCGCAGCAACGGTTCTGGTTTCCTAGTCAAGCTGGAGTCAAGGTGTTAGGTAAAAGCGAAGATTAACGATATGTTCACAACCTGGTCATAATACCGAAGTACGAGCGAATGCAACAATGTCGGTTATCGAAAGCGAGGGAAGCGGCTACGTAAGCATTGAGGCATTTAATGATGCCCAACGTTAGACTGTAGCCATCGCGTATGGCGCGGACTGAGGAATGGCGAAAGGCTTGCAGGATCAAGAGTACTATGAACGGTGAGCCTAAGCAAAGGCGAAGACTCACCATACTGTTCAAGGCTCGGCTTCAGCTGCGCTTCGTTAGTTCCCAGCTCGCGACCGCTCTACCATTGATTCAAGCCTTTTTGACTAGCCTCTCTTGCGATTACAAACTAAATATATCTTTCAGCGCCGCCGCATTGGCAAAAAGGCCCTTTGAAATTTTCGGTATGCAAGGTATCAATCCATCTCTTCTAAAGCTAATAGCACATCAGCCTCGGCCTGGCCGCCACTACTCGGCGCTAGTGTGTGCAAGCCGTGGCAAGTCCTGGTTCGATCAAAACGCTGTTGACCGCGTGATACAAGACATTTGACGCGCAACACACGGCACCAGGCAGTGCTACATGTCTACTCTCTTTTGGGTTGGTAGGCGGGTGGCTTGCTTGGTAGGCTTGCGCAGTCCTTGTAGTTAGTGATGGTGGAACTCGGTGTACGCCGGCTGGTTAGAAACTAGCTGATGGTGGCGATGCGGGTGCTGCTGCTGTTCGCGTCCTTGGGGCTGTGTGCTTGTCAAGACGCAACAGAATGTTGAAGAATTCAAGCGATAGATGCGACAGAGAAGAGAGAATCGCTGGAGTGTAGTTACGGTGTGGCAATGAGCAGCGGGTTCTTGCAGCTTGCTTGGTGCATCTGTGGAGAGGTGGGGAACAATCCCGCTGTGGGGTCACCTGGTCAGTCAACCACAGTTTTCCTGGCGCGACGAACGACAAGGTGTGATCTTCAACTCCGCGTTTCAGGTTCTTGACACGCGCCAAACGCGACGTCATATTGCGCACACGCCAAAAAGTGATTGACCCCAGTACCTACTGTGTACTACCAGGTTGCTGTGATAGATATGCGGGGATAGCGCGCATGTAACGCATGATGACAGCCTCGTACCACGGTACCGTTGACATGATGGATGCGGTACCACGCGGATGATTGATTGTGACGTCTGTGCTACGATGATAGAGAT